GGCCGCCGGCAGCTGCCCCATCTCAGAGCACAAACTAAATCAAGCCGTTGCCGACCACCTGTCAAGTGCATGTAGATAAATTTCCAAGCTAATGGTGCCGAGCGCTCGGCTAGCCGCAAAAAAAAGGCGAAGAAGAAATGTGGCTGCCACCGGACATCAGCTTTGGCTGCGGCATGATTGGGATTGGCTACGGGTATGCTGCAACTGTAGCCGGCAGCTGTTTAAACTGTTACAAAAATACACTGAGCCTGACAGCAGCCAGCTCTTTGGTTGCCCTTTCTCTCTCTCCCTTCTCACTCTCTGGCTTGGCCAGTTAACTTAATTGAAAATCACAAAAATTGGTCATTCCGGCACAATGAGCAAAGCAACTTGGCAGCCGGCAACGATAAATGTTGCCAAAGTGCTTGGCCAGAAAGCAAAAAACAACTAAAACCCGATGGTGCTGGGCCAAAATGAACGACTTCGTGTTATCCTGCAAACGGAGCTAACTAAGAGATGTGGCCAATATTATTATACATATCTATCCATCAATCTATATATTTATCTATCTACATATCAACATATATGTGCATCGATCCGTCTATTTATTCATCCATCTATTTATTTATCTTTATATCTATCCGTATTTCTGCTTATCTATCCATCCATAACTTATAACGAATTTAAATCAAAAATAAATAACTTTAAATTTATAGGCAGGTAGACTCACAGTTGCTGTCGTTTAGGTGCATAAATACAAAGCAAAACTTATTACACACACTGGTTTTTTCAGCCATTTTTATGTCTATAGCGTATGACAAAAGTAAAACCCCGGCAAATTCAATTGCCCCAAGCATTCGCTCGACCCTCGCTTTAAGACCTTGGAGCTGAAAGCCTTGCACTTTACAAACAGAATGCTGTGAAATAAAGTATATTGAAGTAAAGAACAGAAACACAAACTCACTCGCGCACTCACACACACAATCGCACACTCTTGTTCACATTTACGCTTTTTACTTAACTCTAGCTTTGTTTTTTTCGCTGTTGTCTGAATGTTTGGACAAAAAAACTTTATAAAACACAACTCAGAGAAGCGGCTCCAATTGCACCCAACGCCTCGTTCCGCCTCTAGTTGTGAGCGAAGGGTGAATGAGAGGGGGGGTATGCAGGCTCTATAAAGTGAAATAGAAACAGAAAAATAAAAAGAAGCAGGAGCGCATGAGACCACCACACATTAATTCATTTAATGGCTGTAAGTAAAGCAAATATGGCGCACAAAAAATTGCTGTAAAATAAACACAAATTTAAGCAAAACACACACACAAACACAACATACACTCGTAGAGAATCGATGTTGAACATACGCCGTGTGGTTCAGCTCGGGCCCTGGCCACGGGCAGCGAAGTGTTCATAATGCCATTACAAACAATTTTCAAAGCGAGACAAAAACAAGCATAAAATGTGAACTTAGCTTCACGCTGATTACATAACTATAAATAACGCACACACACACACACACACATAGACGGTGAGTGGGCGTGTAACGGTGCGCGCTAATTTTTAATTTTGCCTGGCATTTGAATAGCTAGCCAGGTTTTAGCCGCTCATAATTTAGCAAAGGTATGCCAAGAGAAAGAGAGAGAAAGAGAGAGAGAGAGAGAGAGAGAGGGAGAGAGAGAGAGAGCGTGAGCGAGCGGGAGACAAGTGAAAGCCTTAAAGTCCAGTCACGTACAATTTATAACCCAGTTCAGTGGCGCTCATTTTTAAGAAATCTGAAAGTATTGCTAATATTTATGAGGCCAAAAAATGAAAACATAAACTTGTCAGTCACACGTCGGGCACATAAATTAGACAGACAAATCCAGTCTGGGGTCTGTCTCCGTAATCCGAGCTCATAAAGTTCAATAAACTTGAGAACGGTCGAGAACGGGAGAAGCGGCATTTAGTGTAGGACTAGCCCATAATAATTCGTTGCTGTCCAAAATTCATGCAGGAAGTGCACTAATTTATGGCCAAAATGCCAAAAACCTCACAGCACACACAGAGTTATCCTTAGCTGACATTTAACATGGGCTACGATGTGGCCGTGGGCGTGGCTGGGCATAAATAAAATAACCGCATACATACACACATAGAACAGACTAGGGGGCGGTTCGTGGCTTCGGGCTGCGGGGTGCTGCTTGTCGCAATTCAAATTAAATTGAGCATGCCGCTGATACGAATGGTCAAGGATCTGTTACGGGTTGCTCCTTTTTTAAATAACAATATACTCAAAAGTGTGCTCATGCGAGAAAAGTAGAAGCTGAAACCCCATGGTATGCCACGAGTACACACACACACACACACACACACACAGAGACCCTTTTTGGGTCTGTGTGTGTGGTCAAAAGTTTGGCAAGGACAATGCGAGAGTGTCTGCGTGTGTGTGTCTTATTTTGAATAAATTAAATTTGTCTGCAGCTGGGCATAATAAGCACTTCGTGCTCTGGTGGTGGGGCTCCGTGCTGCTCGCACGCTCCAATAATTTCATGACAATGATACTACAGCTAATTAGGCGTTTTAAATGACAACCCAGCCAAAAAATCTTGGACCCGAACATATGCTGCAGTAGAACCCCGAAAAAAAAATAAAGGACAACACCAACAATATGGTGAAGACAGCGTCAACAGGCAATGGGAGGGAGGCGTTAATTATGCACATATGTGTGTGTTAACATATGGACAGACACAGGCACACAGACACACACACACACACACGCAAAAGCAAAACAGTGACAAGCAAGACAGCGTGTAGTTAATCGAATCGCCCTACGCTTTGCCCATTTAATGCGCTTAATTAAATAAACAAATGGCAGCGAGTTTTTGGCAAAGAAGCATTAAAAGTTCATGAAAAAGGAAACAACTAAACACACACACTCAACACAGCTTGCACACATATGTATATGTGCTCAGTTCTGGGGTTTGCTAATCCGCAGCAGCAGCTAATTATATCACAGGAGCAGAGTCAGGAGCAGGCTTCCACTCCAGCATATTGTTTTCTTAGGCATTAAAAATGGACAAACAAAATTCGTCGCGTTTTATTAATGGATTTGCGAATTTTTATATTGCTTTCAAGTGCTGCCTAATCGAATATTTAATTAATTTAATACGTTTGCAAATGAGCTTGAAGATTGCCAGCAAACAGTTTACAAAGGACCGAAGAATCTAAAAAAAAACCAAGTTAAGCAAAAAATTACAAACAAACAGCATAAATTGGCAATGAAGTAAAAGGTCAGGCAGCCGCGGCAACAATATTTGAACCCAACGCCTGCCTGAGCCCAGAAACGACCTCAAATACAAGATTGAGAACAAGAACTAAATTTCTTAAGTGTTTTCATGTGCCAAGTCGGTGCCCCCAGCCCGAAGCGAACCCCAACCTAACCCAACCGAACACACTCAGACTCAATTGGCAGTGCTCTGACTGTGGCTCTGGTTCTGACGAGCAGTAGGACCCTTCGTCCTTCGCTTTGCTTTATTACACTTGAATCATTCTCAAGAGTCAACTGTAGAGGCTCAACGGCAGGAAAAAAAATAGAACATGAAGGGGTTGCTAAAACAATTTGGAAAATTTATTTTCATTAATTTTAATTCGCTGCAAAAGTTTGGCTTTTGCAGGGCACGGCGGCTGGAAGGGCAGAGGGGGACTGGTCCAAATAATTACTTTTTCAGATTTGGCTGGCTCGTCCCTTTTTAATTATTTGCTAAAGGCTTGTCGCTCCAACTTCCCAGAGCGTGCCCAGACGGGCGAGCATAATTAATTTATTTCCATTTTGTTTTTCACACACTTTGCTTTATATTTCTATTTATTTGCTTTGCATTTTATTCTTGCCTAGAACATTTGCCAATAATTAATTGAAACACTCGCTGAAAAGCGCTCATATTTAATTAAAGGCGCGTGCGGTGCGCATTTTGCTCGGGATTAACGCTTTAGTCGCAGAACCGGCCACATTTCGATGACAATGCTGAAAACTTCATTCAAATGCCTCCATCATCATCATGATGATAGTGGTAATAATGATGATGCTAACTTGGCGGTGAAGGCATGACGCTGATTTAGACGCTGACTTTGTCCGCATTGATTGCACTTAAGCCCAAAGGGCCGCAAAGGGCGTACCAAACAGATTCTGATTCAGATTCGGCTTTAGATTCAGATTCAGATTTTAGTCTGTAGTGTCAATAGCATGCGTTCTGATGCTGATGCGGATGTAGATGCCGTTGTTGTATTTGTTGTTGTTGTTTTTATTGTTGCTATTGCTGAGTCAGCAGGCGGCAATCAGCGAGCTGCTGTCTTGTCCTACGCTTAGTTCAATGTCAATTGATGCGTGTCTACATGTGTGCGGGTGTCTACAAGTTATGGTGGGTGTGTGTGTGTGGTGGTGTGTTTATGTGTGTGGGTGTCTGCGGGTGTGTGTGTCTGTGTGTGCGTTCCCCTTATTTGTTTAGCATGCAAAGGCGCAGCACAGGCGCCTGGCGGCAGACACAACAAACAGCAAACAGCTATTAATAGCAAGCGGCGCTTTTTTATATGCCCTATAAGCATATGAAGAAAGGAATTTTAGGCTTATGCTGTGCCTATCTCTGCAATATAGTGTGGCTAAAACAATATGGCAGCAAGGAGAAGAGAGAGAAAATCAGTTTGATAATGCATTAATATGAATATAAATGGTTCGCCACACCCATTCTTAATAAAGAATTTTATTAAATATTTTAAAATCTAACTCGCTTAAATTTTATTTCCCAGATTCAGAGGCATATAAAATCCCGGAAAGAACGCATTCTATATTCTATATATCTATATCTCAATACCATTCTCATTATCTTATATAGCTACTTTTACTACAATTACGAAGTATCTTTATTTAATCCTTTCAACTGGTACAAGAAGTCAACATAGTCTCCGTTTTGAACTTTGTTGCACGCTGAAGTTGCAAGTTTGCTTTGAAAAATTACTAATTTTGTTCTTCACAATTCTTTTATTTGCAGCCATTTTACACCCGTAGGCAGCCACAGTCGCGCGTGGGGTGAGTAAAATATCTGAACTATTTGCAATTGGCGGCATCTAAGCCGAGCTGAAATTTAAGGTGTTTCGGATCGAAACTGACGCTAAATCATGATTGACTATGCCAGATAGCTCTTAATTGAATCTGTTGGCGGTTTCGCGACAAATTGTTTGCCACATTACGCATACGCCAGGTGGTCGCTTGCGCGTGCTGTGCGCTCATTTGCAGCGCCACCAAAACTAAGTGTTTGTGTGAGTGTGTGTATTTGCGTGTGTTTGTCTGTCATTAGCTCTGGCATTTAACAATTAATTGCAGTAACTCTGGTTAATGAACTAGTTGAACGTAAAACAGGTAAGAGTGTTGCTAACGGGAGCAATCGATTGCTAAATTCTCGCTCAGAGTAAATAACAGCTATATGTAAAGATATTTTATGAGTTGTCGAATTTTCTGATCGATTTTTCTAACGATCTTTAGAACAGTTCTACAGCTTACTGTTCATTCGCCATTCAAGTACCCTAAAAGTATTCAAGATATTTAGTTTTAAACTCTTGTACAGTTTCCTAACATGCCGTGCCCCAGTCGACACAGTGTATATATTTAAAATTTCAAGTCTGTAGCTTAGTTAGTGCCGACAATAATCATATCCAAGCATTGAAAGAAAGCGATATATCTTTTCCTTCACTTGGTGAACGAGCATAAGCAAGAACAACAAGAACGACCGCGCGTTTACCAGTTCATGACGTGGCCCTGGCGTGGCTCTAAGAAACAATAACAAAAAGGACAATTTGCAAAAGTGACGTCAAAACAATTACGTGCAGAACTATGCTTGATAATAAAATGAAGTGAGCTGAGCCTCTGCCCAGGTGCTGCTGCTGCTGCTGCCGTGCCGGTTGCGGCGTTGGCGTTTGTATTCTCAACTGCTAAAACGTGCTCAAGTGTTGACTTTTATAAATTGTGCAGTCGTTTTTCTTGCCAAGCCTCAGCCCCAGTATCAGGCGGTGCCACGACTGACCCGCCTGCACACCTGCCTGCCAGCGCAGACACCTGGCCCAATGTGTTGCGCTGCTCAACTTGGTCAGCAATTAATTACACACACAACGACCGACGGGCTGTCAGTCTGTCGGCCGGCACTTCATCAGTTGGCGGCCAACAGCTTTAAAAGCGCATTTAAGGCGCAAATTTAGTTGGGCCAATCGCTCGCCTCCAGCCTGTAGCCTGATCTCTCAATAAGCCGCGTTCTCCTTGCCGCAGATTTATATTTGGTTGCCACGCTTCACTGGCCCCCAAATGACATTTCAGTGGAGTGTAGCCCCAGGGGCTAGCCGAAAGGGGTGGCTCTGGGGCTTTGGATGAGGCTAAGCTTGGCTGGGTTAGTTTGTCTCCCGCTCGGCGCGTTAAAATAATTTCAGGCTTTCTTTTCATTTGACGCCGAACGCTTTGCGGTTTTTCTACAGCCCTTCCAGCAATTAATGCCAACAGATTAATTATACGCATCGCTGCATAATTTGCTGTCTGCTTTTAAATTTATTTTTATTTCTATTTTTATTTTTATGTGCTTGATGTCCCCCCACGCAGAACGTGAGGGAATGCAGCAGAAAACAAAACAAAACAAAGTCAGTCCTCGACATGGCTCGAAATGCAGATATCCTGGGAAAAATTGATGTTGCAATCGATATTTATTGATTTTCGGGAACGTGTTGAAAACAGAATTTAACTCAACTGCTTGATATACTGTTTATGATATATGAAATCCCAAATACCAATACACCTCATCAAAATCATCAATAAATTGTCTTGCTGATCGATTTTGATCGAACCAGATTTATATATGCACCGCATCAAAGTATGTTTGATCTGAGTCTCCAAATATGTTATTTCTAAAAATCCCAAAATTGACTCGATCGATATTTATCGATATACTTTTAAATAATCAGATCAATTTTTATCGAGCTTTTTTAGTTTAATCGATATTTCTAAAATGTTTGTTATATTTGCCTTGAGCTGCCGCACTAATCTGTTGCCACACCAATATACTCTCACTTTTTAAACTTTTTAATGTCTACAGGGTATATAGAGTGTAAAAAGGGACAGTATCGCCTGGCTCTAATGAGTGCACATTAGCTTGAGTTTGGCATTAAGCAAAAGGCGGTCATAGAACCTCAATTTGTCGGGATAATCAAGCTCGAACAGTCTCTAGACTTTTATAAATATATATCTTATTTTTTGCTTTTTGTCCCCGGGTCTAATAACAAATTTAATAAGTTTGGGCGGTGCGAACTGGCCGCATATATTTTAAGTGAGTGCAATTTGGTATTGATAGGGCTGATAAAGCAATTGGGTGTGCGGTCTCAGCAGGCGGCAGCTGTCGCTGGCCTATTATTTATATGACTTTGTTTAGTTTGGGCAGCAACTTTTTGCTGTTGTTCATTTTGTTCTTTGGGTTGCGTGCCATAAATCTAAAAGTCTTGCTTGTATTAATGTGTCAACTACAGGGCAAGTAACGCACAGGCCTGAAATACACTGGTCACAGAACTTCAATCAAGTGCAAGCCAAAGGCAAAGGGCAGTGTTTGAGCACTTGAAGTCGCATATGGCCAGGCGTTCAGCCGTGTTAATGTGATAACTCATATATTTGACTCAGAAAAGGATGTGAAGTGTAGGGTATTCAGAGGCAGGGGTTAAGATTAGTTGTGACATTCATGTTGATTTATGTGCGGCACACGGTGCGTATGATTTATGTTATATTTATGAGAACCTAATAAATAGGTATATATGTATATGCCAAGCGAACATGTCATTAAAGCGCACGTTAATTGCGTATTATAATATATTAAGGACACATTAGGCAGGACACTATCTGACGACAAGCGAAAAGTGCCACACAAAAATGCCATTAAACAGTTTCCTCTATTACAAAATGGCCCGGGGCAAGGCATTCGCTGCAGCTGCGCCTGGGCCAAGGCGACAATTTGTGCTCAGAGTATTTGCTTAGCCGTATTAAGCAATAAAAGCACTGTAAAAAGCATAAAATAAAAGCACTGGAACTGTGAGAGTGTACAAACAGGGCAGGGTCAGGAGCAGCAGGAGCGGCAGCAGGATGTTATGGCGTATTAAGTATTATAAAAGGCAATTTGCAAATCTCATATAAAAGCCACACGGCATAGCACAAAATCTACATACTAACTGCCACACATACACACGCACACATACAAAGATTTGGATAGCAGGCGGGGTCATGAGGCGGCAATCATTAGCAACAAGAGGAGCATAAACAAACAAAAGCACAAATAAACACAGCCTACTTGCCGTGTGGTTGCCTGGCAACCGCAAGCGCCCATAAGGCACCCGAAAAACAGCCACGGTACAGCCGGTTGGCACGCCCCAAAAGAAGCAAAAGTGAGAGGCGGACATTCAATTGCCATATGCCAGCCGGTGTTGATAATTGTGCCAGAATTAAAAAGATTTAATAGCAAAGCTGCCGCTTAATCTGCTGGGGCTGGCTTCTCAGACAACATTCGAGTTGGTTTTTTATTTAATTTCTTTTTTTTTTGTCTCTTATCTAATTAAAGGAGCGTCGCGTTTGTTAACCGCCCATTTTGAGAAGTGCAAGAACTTGAAACTTAAGATCTCCACTCTATCTCTTTTTCTCTCTCTCTCTCTCTCTCTCTCTCGCACGTACCTCTTGTCTGCAGGTAATTAACATTTTTATGTACTTTTCCTGACTGCCTGCCTGCCTGCCTGGTTGCCACATAATTAAAACGTTGATTTATGCAACAGATAATAAATTCAACAATGCCAGTGCCACCGGTACCTGCCCAACCTGCTCATTGCAGCGCGCCTTCATCATTTCGTTCTTGTATTTATATTTTTTTATTCCCATTTTTATTTACGAGTGCCGGGGTATGTTCGCACTTTATGTTGTATTTATTTTATCAGCGTTTCGATAACGATGCTTAAAAGCATTTTTAATAAACCAATTTCTTGCGCTTCTGCACACACACACTCATATATATTTATATACACAAACACTTACACACCTTTTATTTGTTACGCTGATTAAATTTGTGCGGAAGGAAAAACAAAATAATGAGCATCGGATAAGGACCGACGACTTAATGTCCTTGCTGAAATATGCCAGGGCTGCCTTCATTATTTTATTTGTAGATAACACATAACCAATGGGCCTCAATTAATTTATTTGGCTTTTTTTTAATTAATTGGCAAACTTTGAACCTAAGATAAAACACGCATAATAATTATAAATTTATTTGTTTCTTTAAAGTATTTTATGTTCAAATTGTGACAATTTTGACCTGTTGTTCATGACCGCCGTTTATAATATCGATAGGCCTTAAAGGTATTTTATTGGTAAAGATAATAAAAGAAAGTTATCATTAAAAATGCAATTACTAACTGCAAACGCAGTGCACTTTGTCAAGTTTGACATAGTAAAACACACACACATATATTATGTGTATGTTCTATTGTGTGTATATTAAATGTCACCTGTTTTTTTTTTTTGGTACGCGCTGCAATGGGGCATATCGGTTATTGATTGAGTTCACTTGAAGCAACTCCATTAATTTTTAAACACTTCAAAAATTGCGTATTTTTTGGCATGTGCATTTTTGATTTATGGCAAACGAGCCGCCGTCGACGTCAATCAATTTTGAGTTTTTTTTGTTGTTGTTATTTTTTTAAATTGTATGCAGGAATATGAAGCTATCGCAGTGAGGGGCGTGAAGCTGTGGGGCGTGGTGCAGCAGCAGCAGCGGTGGCCAATCAAACTTTTCCAATAAAGTCTTTAGCCTAAAGACAGCGGATAAATCAGGCAATCAGCTCGAAAAGGGCTGTGCCGACAGCAACGAACATAATTTATGGCAAGTGCTTTAAACTTGCCGCTTGCTACAAAATGACTCTCGGGCGGAAGACACACCACGCAGAGCGAGAGAAAAGGCCAAAAGCAGACACTGTTAATATGCGGCTGGGCCAAATCAAAGTCAGAGTAACAAAAAAAAAAAA